ACCAACATTTCTTCCTATTTCTGGAAGGATTCCCTTGCCTTCCCTTCCCTTGCCTTCCCTTCCCTTCCCTTCTCTTCCCTTGCCTTCCCTTCCCTTCCCTTGCCTTCCCTTCCCTTCCCTTTCCTCTGGATATTGTAGGATTTTCTGCTATTTCTTTGTGGAATGACCTGCATCCCGAGAAGGGTAAAGGTGGAGTGGTAACTGGGCTTGTAATACATACAGGGAATATAGAAAATAGCACAGACACTTCAGAATAGAACTGAACTAGTATGAATTCACTAATTTGTATTTTATCCCATTCATCTCCTTCGCTAATAGGCATACTAATGCTAAGGTGGAAGTAAAAAAGAGCAATTTCTGCTACAGGAATTATAGATGCTTTAAGAATGCATTTCCTTTGACAAATTCAAACCAGCGATTAATATATGGTAATTTCAGTTACTTAACCATTGTCAATATTTGGAAGCTTCTCTTATAGATTTGTGATTAACTTCTAATTATAGACTAATTACACTGTTCATTGTAATAGAGGATCTTGTGGGTTGACAGAGAATCTATAAATGATGCCCAGGAGACAGCAGCAGGTTTAATACATTGCAGTCCTGCCATGTCTTTTTACTAACCAAGAAAGCCTCAGGACACCTACTGCTGGATTTTGGGAGCTATTCTTACCACCATTAAAGACCTGAGAAAGGATTTCAGCTGCCTGCAAATGATATGGGTGAATTTTCTGATTCCTTCAAGTTTAAGCAAGGTGATAAGAAAAAAGAAAAAGAAAAAAAAAAAAAAAAGAAAGTGGTAGGGGGCTACAGTGACAGGTAGCAGTAGCACAAGTGAACTGCTGAATTGTGTGGTAGGAACATCTCTGCTTAAAAGAAAAAGAGGTTGTCATTCGCCCTATTTTCTCTCTTAAAATAAAGCTGAGGCTTCAAAAGAATTGGAGAGCTGTTATCTCTAGAAAGGGTGGGATTCAATCATATTTTTATACTATTTTTTACTTTCTTACCTGCTACTTTAGTCATTTTAACTTATCTTCTGATATGTTCTCTTTTATTTTGTATGTATTTCCATACTCTCTATTTCCCTAGGAAGTTTTGCTCTAAAACTTATATTTTGTTTCATGTTTCAATTAGCCTCCTATAAGTACTGTTACTGTAGTATCTCGCACTCTTATTGGATCAGAATGCAAAATCATCATTCTGCACTGGTGAAGAGTTCACCATTTTCAGCCGTGCACATGTTTTGTTCCTTTTCTATATTTGCAAAATATGAGTGTGAGTACATTCCTCTTCAGACTAGAAAGTATTTCTAGTCATTTGTAATGGTGTAATGGCAAAGACAGCAAAAGAAAATGCAGATAATCATCTTTGAAAGGGGGACATCCAGCAGAAATCAAACAGATACCCAGCAGAGCATAACAGGCTCAGGCAAAGCATCATACTGACTAGGTAATAGCTATGGACCAGCTGTAATAACAGCTTCCATAGGCTAGTGTGCACACACACTGGGACAATGATAAGGAATACATGGAAATTAAGGATTTGTGGGTCATATCTACATCTGTCTTAGGGGGAAAAAAAAGGACAATCAGACTAAGAAAAAAAAAAATGTAAACACAAAGCAGAATCCTACTCTCCATGGCCTGATATGAAAATTATATGGTTCCCACAGGCCAAATTCCACCCATTTGTGGTGGCAAAATTAGACATTATACAAACAAGTTAAGAGGAAAAAGAGCAAGTTAAGGATCATATAAAGAGCCTTGGTCTGAGGAGCCCTGCCCAGCAGGGTATGAATATGCCAGTCTGTTGCAGGAAGAAGTCCCCATCTCTGCAAGCCCTCCCCATCACTGATTTAGATCAGGGCTGCACCTTGGCCACCGATTTAATGTAAAGGGAGCAAATGTCATGGGGACTCTCTTCTGAGCCTGGCAAAGCTCTGATCTGTGAGTTTTCAAGAAATCTTGTATCTGCTTGGCTGATCACTTTGAGACTTTGACACTTGACTTGTCTCTGCAGGATAAAGAACAAAAGCCCACCTCTTCTTGACAGAGAAAAATGCTGTAATGCTTGTCTTGTCTGAGGTGTCACTAACATTGCTAAAATTTGAAGGTGCGGAGATATATCTGATTCACAGTTTCCTTTCTTCTGTGCTTTGATCACCAACAAAGCACAAGCAATCCACTCCTCTCTGGTACATTACTCTTTAAAAAAAAAAAAAAAAGCAGATGCTGCTGTTATCAGTCACATTCAACTTAGATTAGTATTGTCTCCTTCTTTCTTTTCTCCAGATGTCAAGACTAATGGCTAAATGTGTTTTCGGGAAAAGAAAAAACATGCATGACAGAAGACTGGTTCTAATGTGGGAAACAGTGCTTGCAGGCTCCTGGGAGAAGGAACAGACTGTGACCCCCTTCGCTTTGAATACTTTGCTTCCTTTGAAGTTACACACTCTAATAAAGCATATCTAATAACAATGTTTGCTAAACTTGGCTCTGCCTGGGATGTGAGGTCCCAGGAGACTTCCAGGCCTGACCACTGCTCTCTGCTCAGCCAACTTTGGAGTTTCAGGTTGTGTACAGCACAAGAGGATTCAGGCAGTAAAAGTCCTTCACTCATGCAAGAATAGGGAAGAGAAGCTGGCAAAAGAGTTTCGTTCTAAATACTCTGCCTGGCAGCTTTCTCTTTTGTCAAATTATGCCCTATTGGTAGGGCTTTTTGACTCCTTCATCCCATATCATTGACTACTGTCACACCAACTCAATCATTCAATAATCAAATAACCATTGAACATTGAGGAAAAAGCTCAAAAGTAACCATGAAAGAAATGTATGAGAAAACATATAAGAAGAATTATAGGAAACAAAAGAAAAAAAAAAAGAACCTTTTTCTGGGGAGTAAAGAACAACATGAATACTTTGGGGAGCAGGAGAAATCTAACTGTTTAAGCAGTAAGGATAAATATCTTATGGTAAGGCAAAAGTTTTAATGGTAAAAAAAAAAAAGAGAGAGCTTTTCTTGATTTTTGTGTGTTTTTGTAATGTCCATAAAGTGTCTAAAGTGGAGGTACTATTAAAAGCTATTGTAGGCCCAAAGGTGTTATCACAGAGGGATTTGGAGCAGGGCAGGCAGAAGAGCAGAACTTAGGACACATAAAGCCTCCAATATATTTACTAAGTGTGATGAGTATAAGGGGCGGAAAGTGATTTCTGCTCAGTCATATAGCCATATACAGACAGGTCTACTCTCATAGACAATTCACAACACCCAACATCCACTCACAGCTACCAACACCACCACTCCAGCCATGACCAGTAACAGGACTTGAGGGACCAGGACACAGGCTCCAGGTTCTTTGCGCATCTGTGTCCATCTGGCCACCTGGCATCTCCATGAGTGACTGCACCTTAAGGCTTAGTGTTCTATATGTTGCTGTGTGTTCCTCTGTTTGCTCTCCAAGGACACTGCTGTTTTTACTGTTTTTTACTCTCTAACTCAAGCGGTCAGTACAAGCCACCAACAGCCTCACAGGCAACATCATCCCAAGCCAGTTTCAGCAACTTTCTACATAAATACAGTCTATTTTTATTGCCACCTGGGTCGTTGCTTGTTCCAAAGGTTGAAGCCTGCAAGGTTATAAAGCTGTTTATGTCTGATTGGCTTTCTTGTTCATCCCAGGTCTACCTGACCCTTAAAATGAGGCAGATGTAGTCTAGAGTTTATGTGAGATCCCCTCATAAGAATTATCTGCACCATCCTTATTTACCCTACACTTACTAAAATCATCTAATGAGTTATAGTCGGGCAGATATAGTCAAGGTCTCACTTGTCTGAGTAGGGCTTTCATTTAGGCAGATTTCACCCTGGAACAGATGTCCATAGCCTTTTAAAAATCACTCCCATTTATGAATACCTCATATTCCAGACATCTCCTCCTCTGAGGTTATTTCACCATCCCACTAGCTATGCAGATTACTCTCTATTTAGAGGGGTTATGAACTGTCACTTGGCACTTGCCCATTCAGCTTTGGCTCAGAGGCAGTTTGCCAAAGCTATGGGAAATCAGATGGGATCTGATTCAAACTACAGACACTCAGCTGAGATTGAGTGCTGCACCTGTGACATGACATAACCTGTGAGGGTTAACCCAGAGAGTAACTAAAACATAAATCCATCTATAAAATGTCTCCAGAGTTAAACAGACTGACTGTCTGAAGTTGCAGAGCATTTGAAAGTGTGAGAACCAGGTGGCTTAGCACATGTATGCAAGACAAAGAACACGATTTCAACACTCTTAGATCTTATTCTTTCAGGAGTTTGCAAAATATCTGTTCTTCTAACAAACTGTTCAGAACTCCCATTGACCATTCATCTGTCATCTGTCTAAAATTGCAGAATTTCAGCTTTCAGTCTTTGCTAGGCATTGCATCTGATAAGAAGAACTGTTGATTCTTCCGTCATAAGTGACCACTTCTTTTAAGCATCACAGAACCGCAGAATGGTTGAGGTTGAAAGGCACCACTGTAGGTCGTAATGTCCAAACCACTCTGGTCAAGAGGGATCTCCTAGGGCATATTGCACAGCAAAACACCCAGACGGGTTTTGAATATCTCCAGAGCAGACTTTTTTCCAGGTGTTTTCAGGCAACATGTGCCTCTCCTCTGTCACCCTCACAGGCATGAAGTTTTTCCTCATGTTCAGATGAACTTTCATGTGCTTCAGATTGTGCATGTTGCTTCCCATCTTATCACTGGGTTCCACTGAGAAGAGTCTAGTCCCGTCCTCTCTACAGCCTACCTTCAGGTACTTGTACACATGATAAGATCTCTCCTCAGCCTTCTCTTCTGCAGACTGAACAGGCCCAACTCTATTAGCCTTTCCTCACAGGAGAGATACTTCATGACTTTCAATGTCTTAGTAGCCCTACGTTGGACCCTCTCTAGAATTTCCATGTCTATCCCTCCAGATGTGGCCTCACCAGGGCTTAGTAGGGGGGAGGATCACCTGCTGGCAGTACTCTGCCTGATGCACCCCAAGAGACAACTGGCTTTCCTGGCCACAAGGGCACGTTGCTGGCTCATGGTCCGTCTGTAATCCAATAGGGCCTCTAGGTCCTTCCCTGCAGAGCTGCTTTCCAGGAGCTCAGCTCCCAGTATTAAGAAATCTGGCATTTAGAGCTGTCATTTACATAATGTGCTCTCTTTTCAGACTAAGCAAATGAATCTGCAGACACCCACGGAAATGCCTGTTGCACATGACTGTGCAAGACTCTGAAAGACCTATGCTTACCTGATGATTTCCTTTCTTTTGTAAATCTGATCTAGTTTCATTCCCATGTTTAAACACAGGCCTTATTGGCAACTGTTTGAAAAGCCATTTTCCAAACGGATCATAATGCACTTGTCACCATACAGCATGTAAAATCCATGCCTGTAGAGAAGAAGCAAAACTTTGAATGTTTGGTTCTGGAATTCTTTGCAAGGACATATATCAGTCTCAGTACACAGGAGAACTCTCTTGTCTGATATATTGTATATCAGGTTAGGGAGACACCAGTGACTAAATAAAATAAATAAATAAATGAAAAAAAAATAAACAAAAAGGCAGCCAGGGATAATTTTCATGGCTAATCACAAATGTATTCAAAAATATTTTTCCTGTGAATATTCACATCTGAGGAGACAGCCGTGTCTCATGAGCAGTGATTCACAGAGTTATGATGGGAAGATGCAGTTGTCGACACTAGAATCAGCAATAATAAATGAACTGTGGACCAGTAGGACAAAAACAGAACATTAATGAAACGTACGAATGATACCACAAAAATTTTTAAACACCAAAACTATGGAAAAAAAATCATGTCATTGTGCTTGATAGACCTCTCTGGATTTTTCACCCATTGATTTGTTTAAATGTTTAAATGTTTTAGACCCAGTAGGGATCCTAAGCAGCCACAGCAACCTCTGACAGTCAAGTGTTTAGTGTGAGAACCTCCTGAAAGGGGGAAAATGTGCTCCTTTTGTAGATTTCCTCTGTCACCTAAAAGATTGGCTTCATGCTTGTTTCCCATGGTGTGGAGCAAGGACTACAAGAAGGACTACAAGAAGTCAGGAAGCAGTGGAGTGGACACAGAACTGAGTGGCAAGAGATGGACTAAACTGAGCTCTGAAATCACATGCTTTGTGCGTATGCAGCTGAGAAAGAAAAATAATTGAGAAGCTTCGAATGCCTTCTTCCCTTCCACTGTGCACCTGTGCTTGTTTATATTCAGCTGGAGAAAACATCTCAGAAGTGCAACACAGAGATTTCACACAGAAGTGACAATGATGAGGAAGTTTCAGAAACTTTTGTTCAATGAAGGGTAACTATGAATGATTCCTCAAATCAAATTCCTGTTTGTAGAGGGAAGCAGACTGAGAAACAGGCTGTTCAGGAAATGAGTGAAGAACAGCGGGAAACAAAACTGCATAGTGAGATTAGCCCCTTAGAGTCCTTAGACAGTGGAGCCACAAATGCAAATGATAAAAGCAAATAAAAATTCTTTGCAGCAATATTCACTGGATCCCAAGGAAATCCTGGACTGCCTAGCTTTTGTGTGTGCTGATGGTAAAATAGTATTTTAAATTATTTTGTAGAGAGTGGTGTTACTGTGGCAAAGAAGGAACCTCTGAGTACCTCTGAGTTTATTAATGTGAGGTCTTTGTAACCTCTTTGGCTGTGGGGGATGGAGATAGATAGAGTGGGTGGATATGGATGCTAGGGATACCATGTGCGCAAAATGTATAAAGCATATTGGGTGAACACCTCAACACTTTCCTAAAAAAAAAGAGGGGGATCTATTTTAAGACTTTTCTACTTGCAGGAAGAGAGACTAGAGAAAAGATTTCATCCTCTGAAGATATCTGTGGGAAATTATAGACTGTAAAAATGCATGCTCAGGAGATACAGAGACAAGAATTATCTACCTGTCAGTCACACACTCACACTGGTTAATGACAGTTCCTGAGACACAGGGTTCACTAAGATCTCAGGATATGAACATGGTTTGATTCATCTTCTGCCATATTCTGGAACAAGAAAAGAGCTTCAACAAATGTGAGCAAATCTATGAATTAATTTAATCCATGTGATTCTGTAAATTACATTTCCACTTCTATTTTTCAGTGATGTACGGTAATAGTCCGTATAAGTAGCACTAATGAATGCTGTTAAACAGCTTCTCAAAATTCAGTTTGCCTTTTCACCAGGGATACATATATTCTATTCAAGGAAAGTAAAATGTATTTCATTTGTGTATTATTGTTATTGGCATAGCAGTATGGGGAGAAAATTTTGAGTGGACTTCTTGCTCTTGGTCACAACAGCTGTTTTTCACTGGACAAATTCAGTTGGTCCATTTTAAAAGCTGCTTTTCAGATTGCCCTGTTTTAACAGAAAAGGATATAGAAAATCCCAAGTTGCTCAACCGAGCATAGTGAAATATTTATCCTATTTCAAAATAACACAGTTAGATGTCAGCACTGTAATGAACTAGGTTCCTGTGGACATACAGGGGAGTTCAAAAGGACATAGGCAAACTATGAGGCCACCCAAGAGAGAGTCAGTAAAAAATACTTATTTCTTTTTAAATTAAAAACACCATTTAGCAAAATTGCACGACTTTTTTTTTTTCTTTTTTTTAAGATTCTTAACACAAATCTTGAAATACTCATCCCTTGAATGATAGGCTCATCTCTGCTGAATCAGCAATTCCATTTCTCAGGGAGTGTTCCAAGAAAGGGCTTAAAACTACTTAATAACAAATCTGAAAATATCACAAGTTAAAGCCTATGAGATACCAAGGATATGTACTTTTCTTTAGCTTCAGCACTTAGAATCAAGGGTATGTAAGATGAATAGTAAAAATAATTTTCCAGATATCTCATTTTATGAGAAAATATTAAAATATAATGAAATATATTCAAAAATTACACAACTGAAAAGGCTATGAATAAGGAGATTTAGTTCTAAATGAGGAAATAATCACTATTAAATTCATGTCAAGATTTTGGAAATTTAATTTGTGATTCTCTTGGGTGAATGTGAGAGTTGGAGGCTCTTGGCAGGTTTAATGTGGGGCTTATGCGATCCACTGTTGAATGCCCTTGTAGTCTGTTCCTGTAGCTTAGCATGAAAGACAGGACCTCACTGTGGTATTGTCAAAAGCAGTGGTTTGAATAGTATGTTGGAGTGAAGGCAAAGTAGTTCACAATGAATAGCAGGAAAACTTCTTACACCTTCATTATTAAAATACTTCCAGAGGTATTTATGGTAGCTCCATTCTTAAACACACTCGGCACAGAACAAGACAAAATATCAATATAAGAAATACATATATATATATAATCAATTAAATAATCATTTAAAGTTTTTGTTGTTGTTTTGTTTTTTTCTGAACCCTGAAAATATGTGTAGATGTGCACCATATTTTCTTTCTTTCTTTTTTTTTTTTTAAACAGGGAAATTCAATTTCTCTGGGCCAAAAACTTTACTGTGTTTTCACACTGGTTAGTATGACGTTTAACAGTGACAGATCTCTAGCTATGAGCACATAGTGCAGGTCACTGTATTACACCGAGCAGCACAGCGGGACGGGGCCGCACAGACTGCACATAACTTCTTTTATCATGGCTTCTGCAAACTGCATGGGAAGTTAGAGAGTTCGACAGATGAGGTTACCTGTGTGCAATGGATTTTATATAGAGATTGTTCAGGAGCACCAATAAGCCTCCCTTAAAATCTAGAGTTTGTGTTTTAACTTCAAAATCCATGGACTTTAATATCTTTCACCACAATATTTTGATTCTATTACTGCCTGAGTGAAGCATTTTCTCACAGAAACAGCAGCTGTAAATACAGCTATTTCCTTTTTTATTTGCTATTGTTGTTGTATTCTATACAACTAATGTTTTTCTTTTCAATTGCGCAGTGAAAAACCTCATGCAATTCAACAAGGCCAAGTGGCAGGTTCTGTGCCAGAGGAGGAATAACCCCAGACACCAGTACAGTCTGGGGACCGACCTTCTGGAGAGCAGCTCTGCGGAGAAAGACCTGGGTGTCATGGTGGACGACAAGTTGACCATGAGGCAGCAGTGTGCCCTCGTGGCCAAGAAGGCCAATGGGATCCTGGGGTGCATTAAGAAGAGCATCTCCAGCAGGTCGAGGGGGGTGCGTGTCTCGTCTTGTCTTGTTTGTGCAAAGTCACATCAGTAGCAGATGGGCCTGTTCAGCCTGGAGAAGAGAAGGCTGAGAGGGGATCTAATCAGTGTCTATAAGTACCTCAAGGGAGGGAGTGCAGAGGATGGTGCTGGTCTCTTTTCAGTGGTGGCCACTGATAGGACTAGAGGTAATGGCCACAAACTGAAGCACCAAAAGTTCCACAGGAACTTAAGGAAAAATTTCTTAGCAGTGAGGGTGGCAGAGCACTGGAACAGGCTCCCCAGAGAGGTTGTGGAGTCTCCTTCTCTGGAGATCTTTAAAACCAGCTTGGATGCAGTCCTGTGCCACATCCTCTAGGTGACCCTGCGTGTGCAGGGGGGTTGGACTAGATGATCTCTAGAGGTCCCTTCCAACCCTAAGCATTCTATGATTCTATGATTCTATGATTCTTCTCTTTTAACTATACACACATTTAGCTGGGTTTGCACTGCCTGAAAGTTCAAACAGGCCTGTATTATATTATGTCTCTGTTATGATGACTTGCTGTAGTGAGTGGTGTGGGTTCCTGTTGTGGGTCATTGTGACAGTTTTGACACAGAACTTAAGCCCGTGAAACATAGTTACTTCATTAGCTTAATGGTGATAGCTGAATCAAAATGAGACTCTTTTGGCAATCTTCATACATCGTGAGGGAATGGCACTACTTGCCCCATCTGCTGATTTATAAAAAGGTTGTAAAAGAATTGGATCATATCTGTTGGCCCTAGGTAGAGTTAGTTTTGCAGAAAGGTTTTTTTTTTTTCCCCAACATACTCACAAGCGGCACATTTTCTCAACTTAATTCACAGTTTAACCTTCCAAACATAAGAATGACATCAACTTACAAGCCATGTAAGCACACATAAGTACATTAATAAAACTAGATAGATTTGCTATTTATTTACTAAGGAGTACAGAAAAGCTGAGCCATGATTTTGGTATTTCAAATCAATTGTTTTTTTTCAGTTTTCTCTACTAGGTACATCTTCTGCCACTTACAAAAGAACAGACTTAGAAGATGGAGCTCGTTTTTTGAAAGCATAATGAGTTTCTTTGAATATTTACATTTATTAATGGAATTGGGATTATTTAAAGAGCTGTGATACTTCCCTTTCCAAGTACATAAAGCTCCTACTTCTAACCGTGAGAAATCACGAATATTGGCACTCAGATCTGTTTCAAGTCCAGGAATAAGCTTTGTCCAACCTGGGTGCAGTCCAGTGTAATTTTGATGCAGGAAAAGAAAGCATTCCTCTAGCAAGTTTATTTAAAGTGTAGCAGCTGTTTGAGGATACTTTAGGGTGTAAAATAAATCCCCAGAGAGCTGTATTCATGGGCAGGCGGCAGGTGATGGAGTCAAAGGTACATGATGAATGCACATTTTCATATGGCTCTGATATTCATTACACAGATATTTCACTCACACATATGTTTTTTGCACACACATGTGTAAAATGTAATTTTAGGCACTGAACATATGCTTTATCTTTTATCTTTCATATGTTTCCTATATCTAAGATTTCTTACTCTCCTCCAGCTGTGAATACTTCTCATGCCACATTTTCACTACCCTGCTAGTGATCACCTTGATGACATATATCTGTGATACACAGATACTACATAATTAATCTTTTATGAAGACTCAATTAATGGGAAACACAGCACAAGCGAGGAACCTATTGAATAAATATTTTAATGAGATTTTCACAGATTTATGTATTTTATATATATATATACACCAATAGTTTGGAGAGTGTTGCTGGAAGATTGTTGAAATTGGAAGAAAAAGGACACCACATTATTTTCAGTCAAGATTACGTTGAGAGAAATTTCTTTTAAGAACCTCAAGAGTTGTAGAATCACTGTCTGTCTTATTTTGTATTGTGAAATTGTCACAAGCTTGTCCTCTGAAATTCAAGATAAGCATACGCATGCATACACTGTTTCTCTGACACGTGAGCAAGAGCTGGAAGAATTAAATAAATAAATAATAATAATTTAGGAAATATTTGTTAATTTGATTGCACAGTATTTAGTGAACCGACTAGAGCTATTAACAGTATTCATGTTTAGAATGCATAAAGCCTGAAAAGTTCAAAGTCTAAAGGAAAAATGAATGTTCCTATCTTTATAAACAGAAAAAAAAAAAAGAATAACAGAAGTACCCTTCTTTCTAACTTCAGAACATGTAAAAATGGCAGGGGGAGGGAGGGGCGGAAATTACATGGTAAATATTTGGATATAGCAGGCCTTTTTTGGCATTTTCTCTAAGGATCCAAGATAATATAAGCTATTTGAATATATTGTTTTGTGTGTGAAAACATGACCGGAAAAACACGTTCAAATAAAAAATTACACTTCATACTTCACTAGTTGCAGGTCACTGGTCCTGGATTTGGACTTACTGAATATCAGTAACATGTATGGAGTAATAGTAATAATATGCTAATTAAAATTCCTGCTCACACTATAAATATCCTGGGGAATGGAATTTAAATATAAAATAATCCTGATAAATCTGAAAAGCAGTCTGTAAAAGCAGTATTCAGTTCATGAAGCTTGATAAAGTCATAGAGAATAACTTCATGAATCACACAGTCCTTATAATTCACTAACCACCTGGCACAGCACTTAGGCAGGATCTGCAATAACTGAGTAAGTAGGAATTACGGAAAAGTGATTTAAGAGTCACAGTGGATCAGAAGCTGTATATGGGTAAGCTCTGCCATAGCACTTCAGTAAAACCATAGGTTACCCTGGGAAGCTTTAGCAGGAACCGAGGCTGTAAGATGTACAAAAATTACGTCCATCAAATTCAGCAAGGCACCACCACCTCATATGCTTTGCAGCACTGTGTGTGAAAGATATCTGGAACAAAATTTAAAGGATCTGGAAGAAAGCAGCTAGATATATAATGGTTACAGAAAGCATGCAAAAAAAGAAAATATGCGTATATGTGTGTGTGTGTGTGTGTATACATATCCACCACCTTATATATATATGTAAAGGAGGTAGTGTTGTTTCAGTTCCACATATATCCAGCAAGGACATTCTAGCTGCAAGAACAATGGAAAAAAAATCTGATGGGAGGAATGTGTATTCAAATATGAGGTAGGTTGATCCAGGTAAAAGGCAAGTAGGTTAAATGCATGATCTTCCTGAGATTCTTTCCCATACTTGTTTCTTCTATACAGTAGTGCTTTCTTTAGGCCTTCTCAGAGGAGGAATAACACTCCACTAGCATGGTCATGATGAAGAAGCTGACAAAAAGCCACACAGCCAGAGGTAAATGCCAAAAGAAAAGTTCCTCTGTTGGTCTTTCTACTGCTTGGTGAGTTATGTGTGCATCCATTTTAAAATGCAATATATTGCTAGAAGAACAAAAGCAGGAGAAAGGGAGCTCAGATGGATTAAATCTTCCTGCCAGTTCATGTGGAGATTTTTTTAGCTGTATTCAATTTTCTTTCACTCTTCTTCTAAAAGTTTAAGTTTCCCACTTGGGATCAACTACAGGTAACTTGGATAATTTCATTGAATACTTTTCAAATGAGTAATACGTAACCAAAATTAAATGCCCATGTGTCATTTGAAATGAACATGTTATATTTTGAAAAATCAAAATCCATTCACAGCCAACTTGTGAACAGAATTTTTAACAGACCGCAAATTCATGACATTAATTTTTAGCTACAAATGGAAAGTCCTTTTTTTTCCCCAAAAACTCCATTTTCAAGCAGGATGCTCATCATAAAACATAATCTTTTGATTGTAATAATGAGAAATAGCTGTGAGCCAGATCTTAAAATCTCTTGTGCAGTCAAAAGACCATCTGATTGAGAATAAACGGATTCAAGATAATTGTGTGGTATGAGGGAGAAATACAATCAACTATACCACATGTGCATTTTCAGAAAGAACAGAATACAAGCCTGGAAAATCACAAAAACTGAAAGAGGGTTTACAATCTTGCTTCTGCTAAAAGGCATTTTGGGTATTCTGGGAATGTGAGCCAAGCAATGACTGAAAAATTCATTCCAACCAACATCTTGTTTAGATTATCAGATCAAATCAAAGTTATATTGAAATTCAATGTGCTTAACAGTCACATTAACACAATTATCAGAAGATGTTATTAAAAATGGTCTGTTTCATTTCAGAGAGTTATTAAACCATTGGTAGCAAGAGTCAGAGTTGTTAAGTTTATGACTGGGATCAACCATTTCAAAGTAGATCAAAGATTAATAGCAAAGCTCATCAGAAGTCTTGATTCAGCCATGAAAATTGTAGCTAGGAATGGTAATGATTAGTAATCACACAGGGCATGGGGCCTATCAGCAGTGATGATGCAGCACTTTTTACTAATGCCATTAACACTAAGGTATTTTGCACTGGAAACTGGAGAAATCACTGAACATGCTCAAAACCTTGTAAGGATAACCTTACCCTACCAGAAGCAGTTAGTCTAATTTGAAATTTCAGCTCTGCTCCAAAACTCTCCTTTTCTCACAAAATATGCAGAATAAACACAAGTGCAGTACATATCCTCAGAGTTCAACCTATCCTGTCTTATCCTCAGAAGGCACACGTTTTTAAACCATGTGGCATTCTGCAGAGCTTCAGTACTATTGGTGTTGTACATCAGTTACTTAGAATCCAAACCTGGTAGGGACTTCGCTGGAAATCTGGGAAAAAGAAAAGCATTAGAGGTCATTCAATCATTATTCTTGAACGGGATAGTTAGATCTCTCCAGCTTCCAAGTGGGAGTTACCATCTTGCCATACATAATAAATTCACAGTCATGTCATATCTACTATCCTCTACTAGCCTGATTTTTTTTTCGGAGTATGTGGCTCCTAAACCTGAAAATGGACAAACATTTCATTTATTGAGAGAATTTGAAATGGGGTTACCCAAAAACTCTTACAAGACTATGTCTCAGTGAATATAATGAATTATATAGCCAAGGCATGGGAAAATCAGGAACATTATATATATAGTTTGTCATTTGATTCTGTTTTTTTATCAGATACCCGTTTCATTTCCTCTTGGGTTACTCAGTAGTCTGAATTATCTATCATTCTGTGTATCTTAGAATACACTGTGCATTCAGATACACATTTTCATATGTATATATGAAATATGAAAATATCTTTCTGAAGCACCAAAAAAAGGTGTTATAAACCTCTGAAGCTAAATGCATTAACAACTTTAAACAAATATACATGTCTCACATCACTGAATAACACTACATAACTTTAATCAAAGCAGTAATATATAATTGAGTTAACGTCTACTGCAAAATTCTAGAAGAGCTGAATCAACATTGAAATCACTTCTGACAGGCTCCAGGTTTTCCTACTTCTCTTTTCGTGCTAGCTGAAAAGCACTTCCAGTTTACTAAACATTAAATGGACTCTAAGCCTAACACATTTGGAGTCCAATGGCCAAAACAGGTATTTATTCAGATGGTGATGTGATTATTAATGAGCTGAAAAAAAATATTTTTCCCACGTTTTTCTCCTTACGATGAAGTTTTATTTAAATATTCAAAATTACCATAAAAAGCAAAATGATTGTACAAACTACAGACTGCTCAAGGAGAACAAAAAGGCTAAAAAACTTTGCTTCTCAGTATCACTACCTGACTCTCTGTTTGAATTTTCTTTCTTCAGTATCTTCCCAGTCCTCCCTTCCTACGTCCTCTGCTCCCAAACAAAGTTAGCAAGATGCTTTTCCACAAAAAGGCAGACATCTTGCTTTCTACTTACTTCCAGTGGTTGTTGTAAGGACACAAATCCCACTGATGTACAGGAATTACTGGAAAGGTTGAGGGAATAATATTATTATGAGGATTTCATGTCTTCATTTGGTATACGTATTCAAAAAAAAATTACTTCTCCACTACTTTATAGATACAGCCAAATTTTCTCTTTCCCCATGTATTTTATGCTTGACTAGGATTTCTTTTAATTTCATTAAAAAAGGGAGACGCAGAAGACACGTTTGTTGCCGGCAAACTCTTCTGTCATTTAGACCTCAAGTGTAAGACTGAGCCAGGCCAGATGTCACTGCTTTCAAAGGTGCTGAGCTTGGGAGTAGCTTCCATTGGCTTTAATGGGACCTCCAGATACTTAGTACACTTCACACACTTAGGTCAAGAGCTACACTAACAGATTGAGCATGGAGATTTGCATATTCACAGTGTAGTCGATGAAACTGTACAGCAGTTTTGCTAGTCAGTCTGCTCTGGATGGTTAGCAACAATTTTAAGACAATCAGAGAACATGAATTTGCACATTGTAAGATAATTAATAAACCTGGTGTTTATATAACAGGCAGAGATCAGGGAAATACATAACTGGGAAAAAATGTGCAGTTATATATCATTATGCTAACTGTATAGCAATCTGGAAAAGACAATTCCATTTCAGTGTAATATCCAGTGAGCACTTAGTTTCATCATAACCTATAAAATACATTTTTTCCACTGCAAATTATATGAATTTTGGCAGGAAAAGAAGCATTAACTTCCACCTCAAGCTGTCAGAATTCTTTTTTTTTTTTTTTTCTTAATTGAATCATTTCCTTCTATGATGTCACAAGGGACAAATCTGGAAATATACAGGGCCAAGTCTGAGTCAACTTACACCCTTTTCAACTCCATTAACTTCAATGGTATTGGCCAGGGTTATGCCTAAACTTGGAATTTGGCCCATGGAAAGAAATTTCTTTCCAACATATTTTTTCTGCTATTTTTCTGTTCTGTTCACCCCCTGCCCTTTTTTTTTTTTTTTTTTTCTGTGCATGGTACAGCATCTATAGCTCTAAAATGTTTGAAAGATACAATTTAATTAAGGATATAAAGCAGAAATCACCCAATTTATTTCATTTAGCTCCTGATATTCAATAGAATATGTGTATCTCCACAAATGAAGCAATGTTCTTGTTTGAAAATGGATTTGTTAAATTATGGTACATTAACAAGAGGCTGTCTCAAGCAAGAGTATTCCCAGAATTGCCAACAGTCTTTTTGAGGCACTTCTTGGCGAGGAACTCACAAATATCTGCCGAAAGATTTTTCAGTGCAGGAATCTCATTTGGGGAATCCAACCTAAGTCAGAGCAGGCAACTTGGTGGGAAACCTATGACCACATTTTCTCTCCTATCCCCATAACACAGGGCATGAGCTCGCTGTGCCTGTTTGACCACCCTATTCATTTCTGCAGCTTCCATGAGACCATTCTGCATGTGCAGAGGGGTTGGACTAGATGACCTCTAGAGGTCCCTTCCAAAATTAAGCATTCTGTGATTCTATGATTCTATGATTCACCTCTTTTTTAACCTAATGATTTCACTTATTCCTAGCTACTATTGGAAGACTGGTAGCTTTGCTCTTCCAAGGGTAAAGGGTTATCAGACTGCAGGCAAATGTACGCTGTTTTTGCAGTGTAAATTTGCACTTCACTCCTATCAGAAACCCTGGATTCCTCTTTCAGTTTGTTTGCAAATCTCCAGCTGCACCCTGGAGTTGGGGAAGAAACAGGAAAGGGCCTGGCTGGGGTGGAAGCACTGTCCTCCAGTGGTACAACACTTTTGACAAACTATTTCCTGACTTGATTTTGGCCATATCGTTTTTCTTTGAAATATAAACTGCTGTCTTGGGGGATTTTAAAGTTGTCTCTGAAATCTCACAAATGTCTTGAGGACCCTTTCTGATCCCACCAATATAGGGAAATTCTCTACAAAAGGACCATAGATTCATGTTTAGGGATGGCATAATTAAAATGAGTTGAAATTTCAAGACACAGCTGTGCTTTTAGTTTGTCTTCTCCAGAAGTTTACTGAGCTATAGCAGTAATTTCATCAACTGCTGGCTTCAAGCTGCGGAGGACAAGAGCTTTGCCTGGATTTGTGAAGCCATTCACTCTTTAACTTACCAGTTCCCTGAGAAATTGTGTAAACACATTGCTACATGGCCTTGCCATTTGCAAAACAGGACTTTTTTTTTAAACCAAGTGTGGCAGTGGCAGCTCATAGCTCTTGCTTCCCCCCTTTCTTGGACTTGGGCCCACTGCAAGTATAGTAAGTAGGCTCTCTACCCTTTTCCCTGGGGGTTTCTTGGAGTTTGCAGTCCTATTGTGTTCTTTACTCAGCACATTCCTTTGGTTTAAATAATCTTTTTGTTGCCTCCAGCATTTTTATGGTTGTGGTAAGACTTCATAAATCATATACCCTCATAAAAAAAACCTACACAAATGACTTTATAATATTATTGAAATTAGCTGATGCCTAGTAGTATAAATAGATCTGATATGGGATTAACTGAAAACAGATTTGACGACTAAGTTTTAGGACTGTCACAGAGACCCAAGTTACTCAGGGCAGAGTCTCTGTAACCTGCATTTCTTCTGCACAAAGCATGCACATTTAGCATTTCCTATAAAAGTTTTTAACAAATCCCAGATTTTTAGTCATAAGTGCATGTATCTCAGCAAGTGTGTGCTAAGTATGCAGATTTATTCCAAATGATTTATAGAATCCTATTGTTTGATGCTTTAGCTTGCAACTGTATCCTGTATAAGTTTGTAATATCATCCAGATTATGTCATTTTGAGAAACAGGTATTCAAATTCATGCTTGTAGACTATACATCTATTAACAAAAAACTAAAACTTTAAAAAGAAATCCAAGATCTGTGTTAAAAATATGCAAAGAAGTCTCCTTTTTTAACTTAAGAGTTAGCAGGTTGCATATATATATGCTGTAGAGGGGATAGCTCCTTGAGTGTTTATATCCCTTCAGTCATCTAAGTATCTAAATATTTTGCAAAATTTAGAGAAATGAAAATAATCTAGGCTCAGTCTTAACATATTAAGATGAAAAATAGTTTATTCCATTATTAGAATAATAATAGAATTAGAAAACTTTGCTTCTTTTAGATGATTTACATAAAGAAAAAAAAAAAGAAAAAATGTTAGGTAGATGATGGGCCAAGTGATGTAATTGGAATAAGTTTGCTGAAAAGTTAGGAAAAGTTGTAAGGAGTTCTTTGAATATACTTTATTTTTAACAGTGGATTAATAAAAAATATTTCAGGAAGAAGGTGAGATATTCACTTTTACTGGTTGTTGCTGTTATTGTCATTAAGTCTGTACATGAGATTGACTGTAATCCTGCCTCAGAAGTTGCTTGAACAAGATGCTCAAATGAGCATTTTCTTCTTATACAATACATATCATCATTTTAAGAACTAGTGTTAAGTAAAAGGATTTGGATCTATGCTACTCGGTGTACTTCTTTTCAAAAATTTTCAACATCAAGAAAAAATCATGAGTGCTATACCACTGAAACTCACTGGGAATTTTCCTGCAGCTCTGTGGAAAGGCAATCCGTTACACCTCAGATTGGACAGCTTGGCTGCAGCACCATGGGATTTCCCAGTGGTCTTCAATTTGTACTCCATCAAGAGTCATCTGTCAGCAAGTGCTTTATGGCAGTGAATAAGAGCAACACTCCTGTGCCAATAAAAGACATACTGGATATGAGATACAAAGGTTTCTTTGGGATGAGAGAAACAAGATAAGGCCATTTACAGTGGAAAACTCAGTCTGGTGTAACCAGCGCATGCAAGGTCCCACAGAGCACTTAAACGTCATTTGGATGAAATTTGAGTATGCATTCCCTGTGCAGTTTGTGTAAGAAAATATCTTTTATGGTCAAAGGCAAAGTGCAGAGAGATCAAAGGTCCATAGAAAGCAAGTGAGAAGAAGCCAAAAGAAAACCAAACTCCACGAGTCAGTGAAGAGTCTTATTTGCCTGTGCAGACATTACCCCCGGACATTTCAGAATAGTTGTGAAAGTTCAGGGAACGTGACTCAGGAAGGCAGGAACAGATGAAAACAGTTTTATGGTTGGTTACCTAACATGCAATAAGTGAGCTAGAATAAAGCGATACAGATAAGACATAGAATATGTGTGCTATCGTAGTTTAAAATGTGCACAGATAGTAATATGTGAACACAGAATGAAAATTAAAAATAAAAAATAAAAATCGCAGAATCACAGAATCACAGAGTGTTTGAGGTTGGAAGGAACCTCTAGAGATCATCTAGTCCAGTGTCCCTGCTCAAGCAAGGACACCTAGAGCACACGGCACAGGGTAAATATGAAAAAGGAAAAACAATAAAAAGGATTACTGCAAACCACTTCTCAGAATAAAATTTCCAAGTTCCACAAACAAGTTTCCAGAACTTGTTGTAAGTACCTGCAGATTAGAAATTCTGTATGAATAAAAATCAAAGAGTGGAAAAACATAGCCGGGAGGGTATTCCCATCTTTATTATCTTAATTAATACTCCTAAATATCTCAGATTGAATAAGGTAACTATGTATGACTTGGGATAGGTACCCAGAGAGGTTGTGGAACCTTTGAGTACCTTAGAGGTACTCAAAATTTGACTGAGCAGGGTCCTGAGTAACCTGAGCATAACTGACATTAAATGCAATTTGAGTACAGATGAGACTAGAGGAACTTCAGAGGTCCCTTCCAACATTAGTATTCTATCAACTCTGTCTAAATAAGATAAAAAATATGCGTACCGCTATTTTCAAGCAGTATCTTCATATCGTTTGTGGAAGACTTTGATTCATCTCAGCCTCTTACCTTCAGTGTTTATGATCCAATAAATCCTATTTACTTTTACTAGAACCAAGTTAATTTAAGCTAGTTGTAATAATATTGCCACTTACACTCTTACCTTATTCTATCTTTAATGGTAATCAAATAGCGTTTCCTGAGTTATGTAACACTAAATGCAATATGAAGACATAGCTGAAAAGCCACTAATATTAAATAATAGCCTTATATTAGGAAGAGAGAAGACCAAATTTTGATTCCCAGTAGGGCATTTCACCTGATCCCTGTTTTGTGCAAACACAAAGCAGTCTCAATAATGCATCTCCCCTTTTCTGGTGTTATCTTGCCAGGGCACGAAGTAGGTCCCCACCAGCTCCTCACGTCCACTTCCCAGTAGTAAAGCCAAGCTGCTCCTACGTGCCAGTGTCAAGCTGAGGTCTGGGCCTGCATCAGGGGTCAGGTCAGGGAATGAAGATCTTCACTCTGCACCAAGCAGAGAACCTTCCTCTCAAAGGGTCTTCACAGGGAAGCACAAACCATGGGGTGCTGCGATCACATTGCGTCTCGGCTCCCAGGTACTGATTGGTATGTCTTTTAAAACAGAGAAAATAATTAACCCTAGAGCTAACTCCTCAGTGTTGGGCTGTGCACCTGTTTTTTTCTGGCAGAGGTATAGATAGATACATAAATATCTAGGTAACACAATTTCAAGGCTCAGGGTAGGGAGGACTCAAGAGCCCTGGTCCAGGGGTTTGCCCATTGACACAGAAGACATGTTAGGATTCATACACCAGGTTACAACACAGGTGCCATTCCCCAAATCCCTTTCTATTTTCCTTCTCTACTGTCTCACAGCTTCAACAGGAGGATTAGCAATATCGCTTCCTTAGCTTAATCCATAGGCTTTATCAGGAAAGTGTAGTTTCGTAAGACAGTTTTCTAAAACTCCAAATATCTCATTTCCTGGGCACCTCATTAAACATGCTGAAAACATCTGAAATGCTGCTGTCTGCTACCTCAGAGGTGATATTTGTCATATCACAAGCTGCTGGAGAATTGCTTCATGAAGCCAAGACTTGTATATTGGTAAACCCTTCACTAATGACTAACGTATCAACACGTGGGACCCAGTGCTCCTAACTTTACAGGACACACACAGATTATGGCTACATTATAAAAAAATTCCCTGGCAAAATGCTTCTTAAGAAAAATTGTACCACAAAACACATGCTGTATTTCATATAATGCTGAAGAGATTGCCACGCTATGTCACATATAACACATATATTCAAGTCTATTCTTGTAAAAACATCTGGACTCTTCAGGAAGAAACGAACTACAAAAATAAATCTTAGCACTTACAGCATTTCCTGATCACTTCAGAAAAAAAAAAGCTTTAACAATTTAAGATAGATTCTGTCTTCTAGCTGAATCTTACCTTCTTTCATCTGAATATCTTGTGAATGTTCATAGCCTGCCCCAGTGCAAAACAACCCAAGTTAACTTGAACCTGTCTGTCAAAAAAATGAGATTCTCCACTTGTTTAGGCTGGAGATTCAGAAAATCAAGAAGGGGGCGAATGTTCCAGTCATTGCTACAAAAACAGGTAAATTCCTGAAGAAAAATGTTTTTCATCCTTGAGACTAAATTTGTTTCACTTCAGATACAAACTAGGGGATATTAAAGAAATGGCCACAAACTTAAGTGCTTTTTAAAATGATTTCAATAAGATAAAGCCTACCCAAGAGCTTTCACCAGCCAGTATATTATAATCATGTGTTACAATGTGTCCACGATAACAGTATTTGCAGACTTTCAGTTCTCCCTTAATTATTGTAATTATAGGATTAGTAATCTCTCCATAACACTCTTGAGCCAAATTCTATGTCGACATTCACACCGATGTGTTTAACATACTTTACCTTTTTACGATTACTAGCAGAATCCAGATACATCATCAGCTGCATAATAAAACACCCACAAAGACAGTGCACATTCTCTGGTTGCACTTTATGAGTTAACTGGAGGAATGTATACATATTTAATGCATAACTAACTATGAGCAGGTTGAATGTTTTAGTCAGTGCAGGATAAAAAATTCTCAGAATGTGTAAAATATAGCAGTCTCACTGAAAAAAATATTTCATAGAGCCTTTGTGAAACATTGTCCTTAGAGACTTCAAGATCAGACCAAGAAAGACTGATGCAAATATTTCATAAATGGAGAAGACTGTGATCAACTCTGCCTTGCTTCAGAAATGCATGTACCTTGCTGATTGAATATAAATACTCATACCTTAGATTCTTTATTAAAACTTTCCATGAAGGGTGAGATGGCTTAAAACACTAACAATTACCTGTTTCTTATCTGGAATACCAGCTTAAAATTTTTCATAAAGGTGGTTAAAATATTCTTGGTGGCAACCAAACAGAGGAATTCATGAGCCTTGAAAATATTATTTGGTTTCAAAAAAGTGTTAATCCCTAGAATTATCTTGTATCTATTTCTAAGAACACACAGTCTTTGTTTCAGGAAATTAATACCAAGGCCTTGTTAGCAAGCCAGTCATTTATCTACAGTCCCAACATTACTGACAATTAACTCTCTCTTTTGATTAAAACAGTGGAGCCAGCATTTGGGGGTTGTTTTCTGTTTCCTTTTCATCCTCTTTAAAATCCTGCTACTATAAAAGTCTCTGAAATCTCCACCAAGAAATACCAAATGAAAGCACAGGTTATCACAATGTGTAGTGTGCATCCAGTAGGCTGCATGTGCCTCGGTGCACTGCACAAGTTCACATACACACACCACTCTCATGTCAGCATCCTCCACAGTGAGCCTGGAGCATCCCAGGCATGTTATCTCTACCACACAGAGACATTGCCCCATCCTTCCCATGCTGCAAGGCCATGGCATCCCAGACTTCACGGGTCGCCCTCCAGACGTCCTCTCCAAATGTTCATCAGCCATTTGCCCTGTTTTCCTGAAATCAGGGCAGCACTGCTGGAGCTTTTGAACTTTTGCTTTGACTGAAATGATATCCAAAAATTCCAGAATAATTCATACCTTTTTGCAGAGAAACAATTTTTGCATGAAGGAAGAATCAGTGTCCAGAAAGTTTTTGAGACTAGGCAGCCCAAGTTCTGTGTCTTGGGGACAGAGCATCGCTCCTCAGAAAGGGTAGCCTGCTACCTGATTAGTGCATCTTGGGCATTTTAACATTTAGAATAAGGTCTCATCAATCTCTGTAAGCAGCTTTTCAACTATTTCAACGTTCCCTGATGTTAGTTTAATGAAAATAAATGGGACATAAGATTTGCCTTTTCTTTCTTTCTTCATCTTACCTAGAGCAGAACTGCAGCTCCTAAGTTTTTCCAATTTAGGCTGAACTTTCATTCCTATAATAATTGAATGTGCCTAAATTGAGAGCATGTACATACGTATACACATACATACGCACATACAGATCTTTTTTTTGAGCTAAATGTTTCTTAATGAATTGAAGTGCAGAACATAACTCTCTTCTACAGATCAACACATTTTTGGTGCCAATATTCTCATGCCCAACTGGTGTAGGCACTGCTATTTACTAATGTAGGGAAGCTTGCTCATGGTGCGCTCCTTCCATGCACATAATGCAGTTGTATTCCTTGAGACCGCAAATCTGATTTTTTTCATTAGTTTCTTTCTTTAAATCATACTTCTTTAAACAAGAATGCTATATTCAAGTACCATGGTTGCCAAAATAACTGCAGTGACTATAAAGGGCTGCAATAGAACTTCCAGTATTTATTATCGACTAGAAGAAATTTTGTGGTAATTTTACATATAGCTCTCAACTAATATTTAGCTCTTCCCTTTCCTTCCTAACAGCATCTTAGTGTCTTTAAACTGGGCATTAACTTACAGCAGGTGTGCAGTAATCCTAAGTACCTGTAAGACCTCAGCTGTTGTTTTGCGAGCAGTTCTGGGTAATACACTTGAAAAACTATTATTGTTGTCATCCAAGTAGTGAAAACCAAAACTAATTCTAAGAGGATATACTAGGGAAAGTCCTCTAACAGTAAAAATAGGGAAGCACTGGAAGATCCTGCCTGGGATGTTCAGAGAATCTTTGTCATTAGGTCTTCTGGATTTGCTGTACAAGAAAATGTTAAAGAAAATGGTATCACCAAACAGATGGAAAACCCTGCTGTTGTGTTAGCTATTCTGCCATAGATGTTAAGAAATGTTGTATTTTTTTTCCCCACCTATTCTTTTGGCCAAAGAAAATAACTTGCATTCATCTTCTGGTGTCCATCAAATGTACAAGAATGAACTACATGAAAATACTAGATGATAAAATTTCCCTTTCAGGAGTACCTTGGCAACAGAGTACCCTCACTATATTTCTGCTTTTTCTTTGCAACAAGCTTTTTCACACTGTCTGGTACTTTTGTTACAATCTACTACTTGCTATATCAGTTAAGTCAGCAGACACTTCCTTAAGCTGTAATGGCTAAAACAAAAGGCATATGGTGAATTTATCTTTTTTTAAAAAATGTTCGCATTATTACCAACCCACTATACTACCAAAAACCCATGCAAAATGCTATATGCTTAAAGTGTTCTTCTGTTTTCA